CCTACTAATTTTTTAATTATAATATATATTAAAAATATTATAAGAAGATATTATAAAAATTGAAAGGTTAAAACTGAAAATATCAAAGGGTTAAAATTAAAAAATAAAATAAATTGATTTTTGTATATTTTAATATTTTTTATAGGAGGGGGTGTAAAAAAAATAGAGGAAAGAGTGCAGGAGGGTGGAGATGGAATAACTCAATTAATATCAATTCATAATTTATATGAATTTTAAACAAACAGCACGCTGTGAAATAAATTAAAGTAAATTATGTTTTTAGTCCCTCTTGGTTGTTGAAAATTTCTATTTTGAAATTATAATTTTTATTCCTGTGATTATAATTTATTATCGTTTTTGTCTTTATAATTTAAAATTTATCGTTGTTTTTATTTTTGTTGTTTATAATTTATTTCTATTTTAGTCCATCACACTTAAAAGTAATGTTTAGCAAATGAATTGGAAACTATAAGGACAAAAATTGTAATTTTAAAACCATAACGACAAACACCGCAATTTTTAACAAACCACAAGGACCAAAAATGTAATTTACACTAAATTATATAAATCGAGTGTACAGAACAACTTGGCCGACACCCCTGACAATCACAAGCCAAAATCACCCTCAAAACCCCATTTTTCTCTGGTCAAAATCTGTACTTATTTTTTCTATTTTCCATGAAGACTAGAGTCACTATGCAAACCTCTGTTCTATATCATCATCTCCATTCTCTATCCCCTAAATTTCTAAGATCTATACCCCATTTTTGCCCAAAACCACACCCACAAACACCTACCATTAATTCCCCAAAAAACCAACTCACTGAGTTGGCTTTTTGTGTTCATAATCCAAGAACCCAAGTTCTTGAAAACCATTTTAAATTTTCCATACCCAAAAAAACTGACCAATTTTCCTTCATACCCATCTCCAAGATTCACTATGAATCCATTTCTAAACACAAAAATGGTGAAGAAAATGATGATGATGATGTATGGATGATGATGAAAGATGAAGCAAGATCTGATGTTGATCAAGAACCCATCTTATCAGACTACTATTTCACCTCAATCCTATCTCATCATACCATGGAGAGTGCTCTATCTAATCATCTCTCCATAAAGCTCAGTAGTTCAAGTCTCCCAAGTGGGACCCTACATGATCTTTTCATGGGTGTGCTCACAGAGGATCAAGAAATTGTTAAAGCTGTTAAAGCTGATCTAAGGGCTGTAAAAGAAAGAGACCCAGCTTGTTTTAGTTATGTCCATTGTTTCCTTCACTTTAAAGGGTTTCTTGCTTGCCAAGCTCATAGGGTGGCACATAAGCTATGGTTACAAAATAGAAAAATCTTGGCACTTTTGATTCAGAATAGGGTTTCTGAGGTTTTGGCTTTAGATATTCATCCGGGGGCGAAGATCGGGCGTGGCATATTGCTTGATCATGCGACCGGAGTTGTGGTTGGAGAGACGGCGGTGATTGGAGACAATGTGTCAATTTTGCATAATGTGACATTGGGTGGCACCGGAAAGATTGGTGGCGACCGGCATCCGAAGATTGGAGATGGGGTTTTGATAGGGGCGGGGACTTGTGTTCTGGGAAATGTTACAATTGGAGAGGGGGCGAAAATTGGGGCGGGGTCGGTGGTATTGAAGGATCTTCCTGCTAGAACTACTGCTGTTGGGAACCCTGCTAAGTTGATTGGGGGCAAAGAGAATCCAGTTAAGCTGGACAAGATTCCTAGCCATACTATGGATCATACCTCACATATTGAGTTTTATGATTATGTTGTTTAGAGCTATTTATGATCATAGCTTATTGTTAGGTTGGTCGGATTGGATCCACGGATCTTTGTTACCACCGTTGATTTGTATGTATCAAGTGTAAAATTATCTTTAATAAGTTCTCTAAATTCTATAGTTTATCTTTTTTAGTGGTAAATGTGGTGTTTGTACAGCTTTTGCGACCTCGACTAATCCCATGGGCTCTTCCGTGAGACTTATTTTGCGACTAAGTTTAGGGTGGGTTTGTTAGCAGCTTAATGAGCTTAATGAGACTAACAGCTTATTCGGTAAGATATACATGACTGTTTGATAGTGACTTAATGATATAGAAAATGACCTGTTTAGTAAGCTTTTAAGGAGAGTTTTATGCAGAAAGTCAAGTTCTTTCCAAACCCGCCCCTCCTTACTCCCAAACAAAAATCTTTCCTATCTATACAAACAAATTAATCCAAGTCAAGTTCTTTCAAAACCTGCCCCTCCCAAATAAAAAAAAAGCTCCATCCATCTATAAAAAAACCTCCTAAACAAAAATCATCTCAATTTATACGGACAAATTAATCCACATAAACAATTTTATTCATATAGGACTTAATGAAAAACCAACCAAACAGCTCCTTACTCTTTTTCCTGGGGTGAATAGAGGGTAATTGGGAAGTGGTGGTGTATAGAAATGTGCATGATCATCTCTTATTGGTACCTTGGTCAGATTGGATCTAGGGATCTTTGTTAAAATGATTTTGTATAACCAAGTGTAAAATTGTCTTAAGTTCTCTAAATTCTATGGTTGACTAATTTAGATAATTGTGGGTACCTGGACTGGCTTGTGCGTATCTGTCTTTAGAAATAGCAGCCAGGAAAAAAAAATTCTAAAATCCTCAACAAACTTGAATCAATGACCAAGTTGACTTTTTTTTCCCTCCTTTGCGGGGTGAATAGAGGGTAAGGTAACTGGGCAAGGGATGTTGTTTAGAACGGTTTACGATCATCTCTTATTGTTTACCTTAGACAGATTGGAACTACGGATCTCATCTCGTCTAGTCCCCTCAGCGTACCAAATGTACCCATCATCACTTGAAAAAGAGGGTATGGAGCCCTTAATGTGGTTGACATCCCCACAACACCGTTCATGTAAACGGTCGTCATTATTACCTTTCAACCTTTCCTGTCCCTAATCAGTCATCATCTATAAAAAAGGGAGGTAACTCCATTGGTAAAGATAAGTGCTTATTGTGCTCAAACAAATATACAACTAACTTAATATCCAATTATCTCATACTCTTAAGGATACACACACATCAGAGAAGCTTACAAGGCTTTACAATCACCCTCTGATGATCGAGTCTCATCCTACTACCATAGGGATGTACAAGAAACAACCAACCCGTTCAAACCGTCCAAACCAATTAAAACTCAACACACTAACCTGCCAAACTCCTAATTAATAGGCTTGAAATTGGGTTAGGCTAGGTTGGGTTAAGTTGGGTTGAGTTACACTTTGTAACAGGTTGGGTTGGTTAGGGATTTTTCAAACCACCGTAATTGGTTGGGTTGTGTAGATGCCTCAAAGCACCCAACCCAACCCACATACATCCCTACATTACCCTCCATACCTTGCAAGTTAGACTAGGAGGACCAAATGAGAACTGATGTCATCAGTGCTGAAACCATTAAAGTAGTCCAGAGCAAGCAAGTTGACTCCATGCCTACCCTAGGGCCAAGAAGCTTAACTCCTGCTTTCTTAAAAGGTGCAACTTCAACCATTTGTTTTCAGTATACAATTCATCATATGCTTACAGGAGATAAGTACTCTAAACCACAAGGGTTGTGGCGTAGTGGTTGCGGCCCAGGGGATGTGTTGGACTATCGCATCTGGTCCGGGTTCAATGTCAGGAGTCCACAACAATTGTGGCCACTGAGTTTATCAAGGCTGATATCTTACGGTCATAATTTGTTGGAGTTAGTCTAGGCATAGCCTGGAACACCCTTAAAAAAAGGTACTCTATGTATCTTCAGTGGTTAAAAATATCAGATTTTCAGTTTCAGTAGATAAAAAGTCGTAGATTTCACAGTAGGCCGTCAAGATTATTAATTTTCATTTCCTCCATAGGTGCTGTATGTGTGCATGTGGGATTAGGTACCATAAAGAAGCTTATCGGCAGCAAACTTGTGTAGGGACCTGTAGCTAACGTATATAAGAGGAGAGAAGATTGGAAGGGAAGAAGGTGAGATGGGGGAGGGTTAGAGAACCGATAGAGGGATGTTTAGTTTGCTGTACTGTTCCTATGCTTTCTGTACTTGTGGAACATTTTTTACCGTTTACTGCTTTCTAGTCTTGGTTCTTCTTCCCCAAAGCTCTTCATTAATTTACCTTTTTCGCCCCAAGTTCATCCCCTACTTTTCAATATCTTCCAAACTTTTTTAAAGCACTCGGTTCTTCATCAAAATATTTTTTAAAACACTTTGTCACTAGCCAACGGAAATAGCTACTCTACTCATTGGGGTAGAGGACTGGCCTGTGTCGCCCCCGCCCCAAACCCTACATCCGAGTGGGACATACCGGGTATGTTTGGTTTGGTTATAAAGAAGCTTACCAGCAGCCCAGCTTGTTATCATTCATTATACTTGTAATTCTGACAGACTGCCACTTATTCTGTCCTGATCAAATGAAACAGATATGTATTAGATAAATTATGTTGCTCGAAAGAGATTGGTTTTAAGGAAAAAAATCAAACTGCCTTATTTCTTTTTCTTATATATACAAATACTTACACCTACTGATATCTCCAATGAGACTTGCACACCTGATGAGTATCAAGGAATTGAATAGAAATATTGAATGTCATTGTGATTGAATTGATATATTGAATATTTGAATGGCATATCGGCAAACTTTGACTTCTTACACTTGTCTTTAAGGCTTAATCATATGTTCGTTTTTCTATTAAGAGAGATGTAAGGTATTATATTTCTTGTCATCTGTCATCTGTCCTTTATTCTAGAGTTGATTCCGCCATGATATAATGATAAATAATGAGTAAACTACAATTTTGTCCCCAGACTATATGTCAGCCTTTTGGCCTGGTCAAACAGAAAACCTTTGTTTTGATATAATAACATTGCTTGAAAGAGATTGATCGTACGAATAAATAAGGAAACAAAATTGGCCTTTTTTCTTATTCGGCAGATACTCACACTCATTGATGTTTTGTATTTTTGAGCATGAAGATGATGACACCTGATACGATCATCTGCCCACTGCATGATCCTTTCTAACCGAATAACAATGGTGGCATTGAACTTAAGGGACCAAAAAATGATATAAACATAACTACTTTGGAGTAAAAGTGCCGACTTCATTAACTTTAACTTGTGGTTTACTATAAATTAGAACATAACTTCTTCAAAATCAACCAAAAGCAATTCCCTCAATACACAACAAAGAGAGAGAGAGATAGATCAGAAAATGTTGGGGGTAAAAGACTTGCTTACCTCAAGAACAGATTTAACTCGCCTCTTGGAGCCGGTATTTCTTTTGATCCAAATTGTTTTTGCTTTTCTCATCTTCATGTTACTGAAACTGTTGAGGCTGTCCAGAACAAAAAATTCAACTCCATGTCTACCCCCAGGGCCATGGAAGCTACCTCTCTTAGGAAGTATCCATCATCTTGGGAGCTCTCTTCCCCATCACCGGTTGAGAGACTTGGCTAAGAAATATGGACCTTTAATGCACCTACAGCTTGGAGAACTTTCCGTGATAGTCGTCTCTTCGCCTGAAACAGCAAAAGAGGTTATGAAAACTCATGATGTAACCTTTGCTGACAGGCCTTATCTTTTTGCTTCATCCGTAATATGTAATGGTGCTACAAACCTTACTTTTGCACCATATGGAGACTATTGGAAGCAGCTTCGCAAGATTTGCGCTATGGAGCTTTTGAGTCCTATGCGGGTTCAATCGTTTAGGTCTACAAGGGAAGAAGAGGTCTCACACTTTATCAAGTCTATCAGTGAAAATATAGGATCTCCAATCGATCTCAGTGAAAGAATTTTCTCATTAACGTATGGGATCACTGCCAGGGCAGCATTTGGTAAGAAATGTAAAGATCAAGAATCATTCATTTCACTTGTCAAGGAAGCTACAGCTGCAGCTGCAGGATTCAACATTTCAGACATCTTCCCTTCTTCTACTGTGCTTCCTATACTCACTGGATTTAAGGCAAAACTTGAGAAGATACGTGGGATGTTTGAGGAGATAGTTGACAACATCATTGAGGAACACAAAGCTAAAAAAATGGCAGCTAATGTGGGTGATGCTGATGAAGATGAGGATGAAGATCTTGTGGATGTTCTTCTGAGGTTTCAGGAGCGTGGTGATGTTAAATTTCCTTTGTCTATTGCTAACATCAAAGCAGTCATTCTGGTTAGTAAATCATGCTATAATCAAGCTTCTATACTTGAAAATTCTATCTTCCTCTTACACATAATCAATCTCTACAAGATGGGAAAAGTACATAAACAGACTGTTATTCTACATGGGAGAGTATAAGATTGAAACAACTGTAGTGTATTTCAATTCTTAATAACATATGGACGATGAGTGCCAAAGTTGTTGCAATTCTAATGGAACTGAGGATTAAAATGTATTTCTTCCTTTTCCTAAGTACATCTTTCTTTGAGGGTGGCCTGGGGGAGGGGGTGATGGGTGGGAGGCACATCTACCTTTTCGCTTGTCAAGTCAACTTCTTCTAGGTGCAGACTGCAGACTACACATCGTTCATGTTAAAATAAATGTTGGCCAAACTTGTGATGGTTACCAAGGATCCAATCAGTTCCAATATACTCCCTCTGTCCCAAAATAAATGTCCATGTTTCTATTTTACTTTGTCCCAAAATGAGTGTCTACTTCCCAATTCTACCCTCAATTATGAGATTGAGAAATTCATTCCTCCCTCTATTCTAAAGGGTAAAATTGTTATCTGGTTAATTGAAAAGTGCAATTATTACATACTTCTAAGACTGTCTTTTTTGATTGTGGACATTTATTTTCGGACGGAGGGAGTATACTAGTCAGCTAAGTTCTCTTTTGTCCTCCTCTTAAGGAAAATCATTCGCACCAAAAAAATATTAATAGCCTATGAATATTTGGATCTCTGATGAAACTTGTAAAAATACTGGCAACAGAACTAGAAGGGTAGAGAATTAGGAAGTTATTTTATTCTGTCGTACTAGTACTTGCTCCTCTTGCAGGATATCTTTAGTGGTGGGAGTGAAACATCTTCTACAACTGTAGAGTGGGGAATGTCGGAATTGCTGAAACACCCAAGAATGTTGGAGAAGGCACAAACTGAGATAAGACAAGTTGTTAACAGAAGAGGAACTGTTGATGAAACATGTATTCAAGAACTAGTGTTCCTAAAGCTGGTTATTAAAGAAACTCTAAGACTACACCCTCCAACCCCTCTGTTGCTTCCTAGAGAAAGCAGGGAGAGGTGTGAGATCAATGGGTATGCCATACCAGCCAAAAGTAAAGTTATAGTGAACGCATGGGCCATTGGTAGAGATCCCATGTGGTGGAAGGATCCTGAAAGATTTCATCCAGAGAGATTCCTCAGCAGTTCCATAGATTATAGAGGACTTAATTTTGAGTACATACCATTTGGTGCTGGAAGGAGAGTGTGTCCTGGCATGTCATTTGGATTAGCAAATGTTGAGCTTCCACTCATCAAATTGCTCTACCATTTTGACTGGAACCTGCTTGATGGAATAACAAATGAAGACCTTGACATGAATGAAGCTTTTGGTGTGACAGTTAGAAGAAAAGCAAATCTGAATTTGATACCTACTGCCTACCATTCATGTCCTGCATAATGTTATCAGGTGGATCGTGAGGCAAAAAACCTCACAATTACTTGTTAGACAGCATTATGTCGTATTGTATGTTAGAGTTCTTTCGTCTTTTGTCATTTCCCATAGTTCAGGGGTCTGTTATGTCATTTTGTTTTTCTTCCTTTTGCATATATTCTTCTGTTCTTTTGTATTGTAAGTTTTGATGATAAATGGAGAACACAAAAGCCTTCGGCTCCATCCTTTGTCTTCTTCTTCTTGGCAGTTATCAACGGATTGTTTACTTAATCTGACTTGAACTATAACATTGTAAACTCTAGCACAAAATTGTTTTCAGATTGTAATGAGCTTGTGAACTCTAGATTTGGTCAATCTTGAATTATATGGGAGGTTCACAACATCGTGCATCATGAATCAAAAGCTCGGAATCCGACCTTGGGAAGCATGACAAAAAGATGAGACACGAAGAGGCTTCTGGTCAAAGATATCTCGATGGCCACTTTGTGGTTTATGTAAACAAGTAAATCCAAGCGATCTCCCTTCAACAAATAAGTAGTTTATTGCCAAACCTTTAATTTGACAGGGGTATGAACTACTCTAAATATCATTGCAGTTCTTCTAGTGAAATTGCCTCTCAAGATGGGTCTTGGGGAAACTGGAATAGGACAGGGTCTGAACCACTCCAAATATCGTTGGGGTTCTTCTATCCATAAACTCATCTATTTCTGAATTCTTGAATTGCATTGTTTATTTAATAAACTAAACCAAACATATCCTGGGTTGTTGAAAAAAGTGAAACAAAACAACAAATGGCAAAAACCAAGAAACGGCAAGTCATGGACTCGAAGAATATTTTATGGTAGAAAGTTTTGAAAATATTGGCATGGTTGTTTCCTGTAATCATGCACTATTGTGCCAAGGGATAAATCCGAAAATTTGTACTTTTAGCATTCGGATCGAGCCGGGATTCATGTAAGGTTTTAGTATAAATACAACCCTTCCACCTCCACCTTTTGTATCACGAAATTGGGAGAGAAACAATGTGAGAAGCTTTATTAGCTTTCGGGGTTCAAGTCACAATTTGTGATTTTGGTTTGTAATCCTATTTTGGCTTTCAGTCTCTTTGGTGAATAGAGATCCCTCATTTGATGTGTGGATGTACACCACCATCCGCTGGTAGAACCACGTTAATTCACGAGTGTTATTGCTTTGCTTTCTCTAATTATGGTTTATACATATATGTGTTTATCTTTATTTTGATTTGCTTCAGTTCGCATTTGGTTGTTGATTAATATCACACATTGTGCATAGGTTCATAAAAAGTTCTATCACTTTATTCGATTTTTGTAGAGATCCACTATCACCATTAGCCGGCTAAAGACTACCAGATAAATGCATCACATTCTTAATCTTGTTGGCCCACTTCCAGGATAAGAAACACAATCAGTCATTGTCAAAATAATTCAAAGAAAAGAAATATGAACCTTATTTTAATGGCTTACTAGGACAGTGAAACGTATTATGTTTTGCTTGTTATATTAAATGTCAAGGATAGTTGCACCTAACCTACCTTTCAGTTTCACAATCATTCGTTGTGTTGTTTTTGTTATTATTATTTAGCATTTATTATTATAAGCATTGTTTTCAATGACATTTGAAATATGACTGTAGTCATAATAATCTATTAAACAGCATCTCCTGAATTGACTTGAAGCAATTATTGCACAAAGTCAAGAAGGAAGAAAACAATATCAAAATATTTGTAACTAATGGGCTTGTTAGTTTCATATACCTTATTTCCTTTTGAAATTAGAAAGTTACCTGATGGAGCTCAGCTTCGGCTTGTTTTCTGTCCTTTCTATTTTCACCCTCTTCATATTGATGATTCTGAAATTATTGGAGCAATCTAAATCAAATTTACCTCCAGGGGAATGGAAGCTGCCAATTATAGGAAGTATTCATCATCTTACTGGCTCATTTCCACATCATCGCCTAAGAGACTTGGCAGAGAAACACGGACCTCTGATGCACCTGCAGCTTGGAGAACTTTCTATGATGTCAACTTTGCCAATAGGCCTTCAATCTTGTTGCATCTGTGGTTGGTTATAATGCTTCAGGCATTATGCTTTCACCACACAGGGAATATTGGAGGCAGTTACGCAAGATTTGCACTTTGGGCTTTTGAGTAGTAAGCAAGTCCAATCACTTAGATTGGTAAGAGAAGAAGAGGTGTTGAAATTCATCAACTCCATTTCTCGACATCCAGGATCACCCATTAATCTTAGTAAGAGTCTTTCCTCACTAACTTATGGGATCACGGCAAGAGCAGCCTTTGATAAAAAATGTAAAGAGCAAGATGCATTCATATCACTTGTCAATGAGAGTGTAGCTCTTGTAGGAGGATTTAATCTTACGCAGCTCTTCCCTTCATCTAAACTACTTTCCTTCCTTAATAAAACCCAATCAAAACTTGAGAAGATCCATCAAGGATTTGATCAAATTCTGAACAACATCATTGAAGAACACAAGAATTCAACAACTGATGAAGGTGAAGTAGACAAAGATCTAGTAGATGTTTTCTTGAAAGTTCAGGAGCATGGTGACCTCGAAATTCCCTTATCTGTTGATGATATGAAAGCAGTCATCCTGGTTAGTAACCTCATGCTTTAAATCTGCTTAGCATCTTGTTAATAATGGCTTATTTGTTATATGAAATGCAGAACTAAGTCCAAAAACAAATAACAGCTAAGGAACTGCCTGAAACAAATATTATATATTGGTGTATAAGGGGTTTTGGTGACGAGAAAAAACAGTGGTTACCAAAGGGTCATTGGCCCAGCAGTATCTGGGATACCGGCAGGGCCCAGCCTCCGTGGAGGTCAATAGTTCAAACCTGTATTTGCCGTAAATAATTATTATATACATCAAAAAATTACAGTAGTTACCTTAGGCTTAATTATATACTAATGCATCATCTCAAAGTTTCTTTCTGTTGCTTATACTATTTGCAGGATATGTTTAGTGCTGGAAGTGAGACATCTACTATAACTGTTGAATCGGCAGTGTCAGAACTACTAAAGAATCCACAAATAATGCAGAAAGCACAAGCTGACGTTAGACCGGTTTTTGACCGAGAAGGGCCTTTTGATGAAACATGTAGTCAAGAATTAGAGTTTCTACATTTAGTCATAAAAGGAACTCTTGAGGTTGCACCCCTCCAGGCCCTCTGTTACTGCCTAGAGAAAACAGGGAGATATGCAAGACTAATGGATTTGAGATACCTGTCAAGACTAAAGTTATAGTGAATACCTGTTGGAGCTGGAAGGAGAATATGTCCTGGAATTTCATTTGGATTAGCAAATATTGAGCTTCCGCTGGCATCTTTACTGAGTTACTCTACCATTTTGACTGGAAACTGGCAGATGGAACAGACAACAAATATCTTGACATGACTGAAGCCTTTGGTGTAACCGTTGGAAGAAGAAGCGACCTGATCCAACAGTTTATAAGTCTGTTCATAAATGTAACAAACATGAGGCTGTATAATTTCCTTCTATCCCAGTTGATGTAATTTCTGCTATTTACACTGTTGCACATATGTGTGAGGCTGTATAATTGATCAAGTAGACAGAATAATGAATAAACCAACTAAACCTGTGTAAAAGTTATCATGGATGCTGAGGGTCCTACATTGACACTTGAAACTTAGATGTAATATGGTTATAGAACAGGTGCCATAAAGAAGATGAGTAGCAAAAAAGTCACTTGAATCCAATACAACTAGTATATACTATACATGCATATTTCAATAAAAATCCTCTTGTGCCCCAAGGCCAGTAAAAGTTTACATGTCCATATCTGCTACAGAGTTCTGATGACCAACTGTATTGGCCCAAGACTTTGGAAAGATACACCAGTCTAGAAACCAAATTCTCATAAGGTAACAAAACCTTAATGAGGGAAAATTGAACAAATACAGGTACTCCCTAGCAATCCCCTCATTAGCATCTAAGTTACAACATCTCATTTCTTGATCAGGAATAGTTTTCCAATTTGTACATTCTACAGATATAAGACCAACAATGGTGAACGTCAAACATTTCTTGTTTGTTGTTAATCACAAGGAAGTAGTTGGAAGAAATATAAGCCTGTCACGTATGTCTGTTTCTTTAACCAACTTGGAGTTGAGTGCATATACCCTTTCAACCCGCCAAGTTGACAAGTTCCATATTGGTAGAAGCAGCAGTAGTTTTATTTTATGTTCTTCTAACTTTATGGGCCCAATAGTACTCTTCCAAGATTTCGTGGATACTGATCGGAAGAATGGTTTAGAGTTGCAATATCAAAGCTATGAGTTCCAAACTCATTCTCTCGGTATCCATACACATCAATTCCACCATTTACCATGCCATAGCATGCCGACTGAAAAACTCTGTTGAAACTGGAATTTGAAGCATGCTCTTGACTATGGATGGCTTCAGCATTCAGTGCTTGTGGTTGCTTCCCAGAGAATCTATTGCCAACTATAAGATCAAGGCAGATTGCATTTTCTGCTTCTGATCTAATCTTTCGATTCCCATTCCCTGCAATGTCATGGTTGCTACTCTTGGCAGTAGGTAAATCATGATTGTGTTTCCCCTCATAGGTCGTTATGACAGCTTTAGGGTCATGGGATGCCCTCTCTACATGTTTCCTTACTGAACATCCGGCACTCGTGCACTTGTAATAACTCCTGTAATTCATGTTTGCAAAATTAAATAGGTAGAATCAGAAGAAGCATTTTGCTCTAACATGATCATAGGCATTTATACGACAGTTTGCTCACATTGTATAAATTGTACTTCCAATTTCACACCTCTTCAGTGGAAGACTGGTCTGTAAAAGTAATTTTGATTTTGAACTTATAACAAATTAATCATGGAACTTCATTTCTTGGTGGTGGTAATACTGGGATTCAACTTGATCATGAGCTCACAATGAAAAGTGCCTGAATTACAAGAATTAGTATAAGGCATTTTATGCCATCCAAATAATTGATCCAAAAAAGGGTTGATGCAATTCGGTTTTGCATCTGTTCGACCTTAAAGGACCATCGGTAGAATCAACAAGTAAGCTTAAAAATGAAAAAGGAAAGGAAGATCACACTTGTGCAACACACTGAACCATTAGAGCAAAACTAGTAACAAAGTTTATACTTAGGAAGTCAAAAATTTCAAGGCAGTAGCGAAAACTGAGCCAAGCTGGAGAACTAGCTTGATCTGGTTCCTATGAATTAGTAGGCCTCATCCAGCACTAGCAGGAAAGGCAGGGCACGATCGCATAAAAGTATTATAGACTTTTTTTTCTAGCTTTAAACAGTTAAGCTCAAAACAGAGACTCAAACATGTTGAAACTGGAACACACAGAAGTGTCGAACTCCTGTTATATCAAACAACGGAACTAAAACAGAAGTAAACATATTCGTGAATTTACAGGTGAGATGTGACATCTTTAGTTGCGAGTTGAGCTTAGCATATTCAAGTAGACAGGTAATTTAATATCTCAAGGTAATTCCTGAATCATACTTGACATGGTAAAATTTAAATTGCTTGTGTGTAATGTGTTATCTGCGTACTCTCGGAAAACCAAGGAGACTTGATCAATGTTGCCTCCTTGTAGATGATTGGGTGCTTGTATTGTCATGTCATTCACACATCTGGAGAAACTTACTCTAGAAATCCTTACCTAACCAGAAAGATAATTAGAGTGCCTATTTCTGGTCATAAACCAGAATAATAATTTGATTGGAACAGGTTCAAGATTCCATTGTAAATTAAGATTTACTATTTAAATAAATTTGATTCAATTCCAGATGTGAATATCAGTCTTATCACATAGCTTTAAAGGTTTCGCAGTTTGGACTATTTTCTTCCACACAAACAATAGCCAATATAGCAAGCTTTTCACTCAAGTTCCTCATTTTTCTCAAGGACTTCATAGGCTTCACATGTTCTGACCATGTAAATGATTGATTCATCCCACGAAGCAAGCATACAACTTTGTTTATTATATCTACTTAACATATGAATTAAGATTGAATGATAACCGCCTAGATGTATCTAAGTTTTGTCTCAATAAGTTAAGATTCGAAGAATAATTGAACCAGTGATGACCATTTAGATTAGAGAAACCAGATACAAGCAGTCTTTAAAATTTCTAGTTTGACAGCGAAAAGGATCCATACCTGGGATTAGGGTTGCCTCGCACAACTTTCTGTCCATACTTGCGCCAACGGTATCCATCATCCAGTATGTCAATCTCACTGATAGTCTGGACAACCACACGTGGCTCACGTATAGGCTTAACCACTGCAGTTACATCAAGTGTACCAAAATCTGTTCGCCTGGTTACATTAGAAGTGACCCAACATTAGATCTAATCAAAGTGCAACTGATATAATCAAAATACAAGGCCTTTAGCTTTTCACCTCCTTTTCAAATTTGGATTGTCTTCAACCTCATCATTGGTGATGTTCAATTGTGGCACTGTCCCATCCATGTTATCATTTGCTTGATTAGGAGACTGCAAAGGAGTTCCACATGTCTCAAAATTATGAACCTGCCCACTAGTTGCGGAGAGACCTTTAACAAAAGGAATGAACCAAGAAGAGTTCAGAAAAGATGATAGTGATGAAGAGATAAGAAGGTGTACTGAGATAGCATAACGTATTTCTTCAGAAAGCATGGAAAGCTGTTCAACTACCTACTTGACCAGGCACAGATAAACGTTTGTCGTCATTTTCATCCTGTATTGACATAAGAGCACCTGCAGTAAATCGACGGTTGGGTTGAGGTTTTGGATGATCATGTGTACCCTTATATATGATCTCTGTTATTTGTCCAGTATAAGAACATTCAAAAATCTTTTTTGCTTCGCAGTTGGGATGTGTACACCTGTAATAGCTCCTTGGAAATTCACTTCCTTTAACAACTTTCTGCCCATACTTTCGCCAATTATATCCATCATCTGATGATCTGTCAAACAGAACCAAAGGTCCAGCATCCTTGTGACACAAGTCTGACTGATGAAGCCTGGACTTAGTCACCCCCACTCCATTTGTTTCCCCGTGAAATGCAGCAACCCCTGGAGCAAGCATGCATACAGGTGCAGCAAGACTTTGTTCTTTCGGTGCTGCCATCTCACAATTGGTCAAAGATGATAATGCATTTGGCCGAGACTCACTTTGGTTTTGCTTTTGTCCACTTGGTTCACTCTGTTGGAGGTTGAAACCTGCAGAAACCTTTCATACTACCAGTATAAAAAATTTGTCCAGTAAAGTCGCCTCTTTACACAAGATAACACAATACAGGATACGGGGAAACTGCTGCATAAAGGAGGATAGGCATTCATACGGATAAACTGGTGAGTGAACCCAGGGAAGGGAATGAGGGAATACATTAGTGAAGTGCTAATCTGTAGTTAAGCTTACACAGCCTAAAGGAGAGATGTAAAAAGGGGGATTAGGAGAGGTGGATGACAAACTTTCACGCATACATCTTCATAACTAAGACACTTTGCATGATGAAGAGAAAAGAAACTTGAGTTCCGCCTTCATCCTAAACCAGTTCCTTTTCATTCTAACAGCATGAAGATGTCAACTCAAGCCTTTTTATGCATTCATACCAGGAAAAAAAACGTAGTTCAAGTAACTCATCAGGCAGGCTTATACCTGAAGTGCTGCAGATGAACATCCTGAAACTGCTGCAGACCCCATGTGCTGTCTAGACTCATATAAGCTAGAGTTACTGACATCTAACTCTTCACCGGCTGAAGCTTTTGCATTTAATAAGAATGCAGCAGAGCTGGAATACCTTTGCATCAGTTGAGACTTGAGAAAAAAACCTGTAGTTGGAGAAGGCTCTGGCTACAAGATAAACAAAACGGGATTTTATAGACTTGTCTACAAAAAAGCTTCATAATATTTTTCTAAAAAAATATAACTTCTTTGCACTCATCAATTCGCACAAGCTCCAAATATGACTGTATAACTTCGAATGTAGAGAGGATGTTGATGCCATCATTCTAGAAACTGCCCTATACAAAAAAGGCACATGTGGAAAAAGGGGCAAAGCGTACCCACTCAAAAGAACATTCGGTGCTGTGAAAAAACAACACTGAAGCTTATAGAATATGACAAATTGGTTGAAAAGGTAACCTAGAAGGCTAGAACACAGCTGATCCAACTTGAACAATATTAATAGTAGACAAGCACAATTGCATAAAGAAGAATCTGATGTTAAATAATACAATTAAGCATCGGAATACTACAGCCTCAAAGAAAGCACAGGCCTATAAATAGTACTATATTCCCCAAAATGAGCACTTCAAAAAGATTCATTTAATCCAACAAACAAAGAAGCGTGAAATGAAATGAACAAAACATCAAAAGCAGAATATCAAACAAAACGCACTTTACAGAAAGCTCTTTTTCTTGGATGACGAATTTATCAATAACAATGGATCACATCAATGAAGCCATTTTGACGCAACAAAGCTACTCTTGTCCTGTTGCTAATGTGTCATTTTAAGGATATACCGCAATTCCTAAATTAAATCAGCCTTTCGTTCTATAATATACAACCAAATTGATGTTAACTAAAACGAGTCCCAATCCAAATTGATCCGAGGCAACAATGCAATTGAAGAAATAACAGAAATCTAATTTAAATCAATAAAATCATAAATCTAATGAAGACGATAATCTAGTTTTACCTTCACATTAGTGAGGAGGATAGGCGAGTCGAGAAAAGAGGTAGGGCTGAGACCGTGAGGGATGGTGATGGAGGTTGAGCTTGAGATCGGAAGTTTAGCCGGTGACATAAGCTTGTACCGAGCACCACCACCGCCGGTGGAGGTAGATACGGCAGCATCTCCGCCGCTGGAGAGGTGATGGCCACAATGTGAGTTAGAAGAAGCTTCTTCTTCCATGGACGAACAACTTGATCCAGTTTCAGGTTACAATGAGACAAAAAGTTGCAGCAAGTAAACGATAAAAAAAACCGGTCTAACGGAAAAACCGGTTTAACGGACCGATCCACCACGAATCGGCTAGAAACCGTCGGCTTAAGTACGTTAACGGTTTCGATCGGTTTTCAAGATAAATTCATGTTTGACAATTATGGATTTAAATACGGTTTTTATGATTAATTTCTAGTTAAATTGGATTCGGCTGCGTACCTGATTTCCGTTCTAAACCAACCAACCACAGCATGACATGTGTCCAGACATTTATCAACGCCACGTGTCCAAACATTTATCATGTGGTAAAAAATTCATGGATAATAGCAGGCCAATTTTATTTGACTAAAAAAAATGAAGTTATAAATATTTTTTAAATTTTTTTATTAAAATATTATTTTTCAGAGTTGGTTTCACCTTCTAACTATTTTTTTTTTAATTTTATTAAAATAATTATAGATCCGCAAAACACAAGTTCGTAATTACGGACCCACCTAAAAGACAAAAAAAAAACACTTTCTATCTATGTCCACAAAAGAAATTACAATTTTTACCCAGGTCTGTAAAAAAATTATATTTCTCACCCAGGTCCGCAAAAGAATTTAAAATTGTGGACCTAGGGCTATTTTGGTAAACTTTGTAAAAAAATGACTAAGAGGTGAAATCAACCAGTAAAAATAACTATTCCAATTAATTTCCATATTTTTATAAAATTATCGTTAGTCTGTTAATTAGTTTCTTATTTTTTGTATGAGATCGGGTCATTTAAGAATACTAGAAGGGTACTTACATAATGCAGCGAAATACATCTTGATTTTAATGTTTCTTTTAATATTTTGAGTCTATCAATATTATGATGCTATGTGGTTATGAGAAAAAAAATGTTTTTATTTTTGAATGAAATATAAATTTAAAGATATCATAAAATTTTGAAAAAAAGTAAGTGATATTAGTATTAAATTAACTATAAGTTCTTGTTTTTATGTAATTTCTTTGATTTAAATTGTTATTATAATTTAATTAAAATTTAAAAACGAATTAACTTATATTTGGTTTAATAATATAGTTTTTTATAAAGAAAATAATGAATTATTTTATTAGAACTCATTAATTATCATAATTATATTTTAAATTTTTTATATTTTAAAATGAGATGTTTATCCTCTACTTGATTATGTTTATCCGCATTCAGTTACACGAATTCAAAATAGAGCTTTAATAACATGTACTTACATACAATTTACTTGCAATATTGAATTTTAAGTAATATGCAATAATAAACAATACTTCATGCATAAAAACGGTTTTTAAGAGTTTTTATCAAATGATTTATAATATAGTATAGATGATTAAATATATGTCGTGTTAACCTATTAAAGAAGAAAAAAATGGTTTCATACTCATCAAGATGTCATTGATTTAATTAAAATCGTATTTAAGGTTATATAAATAGTCTTATGTTCGAGCCTGTTATCCCAAATTACTGACGAAATGATAAAAACGGGATTTGAACCCGCGTCTGAAAAGGGTATAGGAATGACAGTGCATACAAACTCTACAAAAAGAAAAAATATTTAACGTTGTGGGGCTAACTCAACTGACAATAAGGTTTGCAACCGTTAGGGTTCTCCTCAGTGGTCATTAGTCTGTGTTCTACAAGGCCACTAGAGATTTTCCTAATTGTTCTTCAAGGCCCCTGGGATTACTCGAGGTGCGCAGAAACTGACCCAGACACCCACGGTTAACAAAAAAAAATGTTAATAAATATTTTTATTATCAAATATATTAACTATTCATAAATTTTAGAAAAAACAAACGTACGCACGGATCAACCCTACTTGATCTGATATGGCTTAAATTTTATCTGTTTTGAATCTAACTCGTTTTGACTTGTTACCAAACCAAATTCTTCCGACCCATCAGTTCCGTCTATAATACATATAAATATATAGGACAAGGTCGTCTTGATGTTTGTTACACGTAAACTAATTTAAGCAAAGTTTTAATTTTGTCTATCAGATGTCTCTCTTAAGTTTGCGGCTCGTTGTCTCCCGATAAGTGACAGGTCACGACTAGTGTTTTGACAAAAATAGAAGTGGATGGTGATGTTTTCGTTCACGAAAAAAAAAGATAACGGTCAACTTTCGTACCTTATTTTCGTTATTTGCATTGGTTTTTATTTTTAAATATCAGTCGTTGAATTTAATTTTCAATCATTTACTGTAAACATGATTTTTAGGTGCATGTTTGAATATCTGCCTATCTGGTATGTTATTATATGATAAAAATGAATACTACTTGTGATGCATACTTTGTAAGAAGGAAGTTTAAATGAGAACATAATCAAATAGGGTTGGATTCACGTAAGACCAGTATGTTTTCGTGAGACCCGTGAGACTGTTTTTTTACACTTTAAACTTCACAACAAAACGTTGTGAAGGTAAAAAAACCCCGAACCTTCACAGTAAAAACACTGTGAACATTACCTTCACAGCGTTTTGTTACGAAGTTTCAAGTGTAAAAAAACAGTCTCATAAAAACATACAGTTAAATCACATATGATTTTACACTAGTCATTTTCTTACTATTTTATTTAAAACTGTTCTTGTATGAACTTGAATCTACGTTGTAATCGAATACAGATGTAAATGTGTGAAAATTATTTTGATAAATTATATATATTTCACAATCATGTAAAATCTGATTAATGACAAAAAAAAATTGGAAATGTGGGTTTTGTTTATATGGCCAAAACAACAATGTCAGATAGAAGTTCAGTACAAAAAATATGGTGGAAGACTATACTCACTCAACATTACAACATGTTACGTGCAACTTCCAGTGAGAGTTCTATTCATTCTTTCAATAACTCCATTCTGCTATACGAGTTAAGATGGTACATCACTATATCGAGAACGTAGATATAGAATTTTAACTAAGGTGTCGTTTACCAAACGCTTACCCAAGTAAGCACTTACCAAGTCACGTTACTCGACCGGATGAATATGACAAGAACTAAAAATCTTACCCGGTAAGTGAGGACGAGGACTTTTACCATGGTTAGCACTTACCGGGATAAATTGTTACATACGATACGTTTTAGTGAATAAAATCTTACCCGGTAAGTAAGCGATAATGTTGAATTTTAGCGGTAAGTGCTTACCGGGTAAGTGTTTAGGTAAACAGCCACTAAGATTTGCATAAAGCTTATCGACCCTCTCCCTAAAAATGTGTGTTGTCCTACTTCACATCAACAAGATGGTTTGTATTGTTTCATAGGCATGCAAAATTGGTTGGTTTGAGCCATGGCTACATCCGACTAGACCCACCATGAAATAGGGCCTAAACCCCCGTCGGACACAAGCGATCCCTGCCAAAGTAAAAAATTATATACCGAAAGTTATCAAACAAAACGAACCCAATCCCACATAAAATAGAGTATTTGGAGGACAAACGGTACGTAGACATTTCCTTGTCTTGTACCTTGGAGGTATGTGGGGTCATATGCACGTACCATCGTGTCATGGTTCCATTGTAGTGGAAAAAATTACGTTAAGGTGCCACTATAATGTTCGTAATGTGCTCCTATATTTTTTAAAATCAAACTTATTACGGAAATTTGTAGTGGTTGGGCGTCATTAAATTAACGTGTCTAGCCCGAAAAGGCGTGTGTTCAAATCCTGCTTTAGCAATATACCATTCGGGTGTGAAGTTTAGTAACACTTACAATGATCTCCATAGGGGCAAATGGCTTCGACTCTTTTTGCTCGTTTGGAATTTCGGGAAACTTTATATTTTGAACTCGGAACCTAATCTGCAATCGAAGATCAAAACATCAACATATATTATTTTAACTGAAGTTTCAAAGAATAGAGGAAAGTTCAAATGAGAACCATAAATATTTTGACTGTTTCATGTATTCACGTGAATGACCCTGAATAATCTCATATTATTCATTATGAATATCTTGCATTCTCATTATTCATGATATCATGCATTCTTATCATGAATACTTTTCGTCATGATAATCTATCACCACATTCATTATGAATAAAACATGAATAGTTGGTTCTCAAGTTCTCAAAATATTTACAGTTCTCATTTGAACATGTCCCTCAGAGCATAATGTTCAACGAACCTCACTATAAACTCGACTAAAGAATACCAACCTCATCATATCCATCTATAAGGTATTCCTCATCATTGAATGACCATATCCATTTAACTTGGTTCCTAGTGCCAAAAGTGAATCATCGAGGTTTATAAAAATGTTGAATCACAAACCGGGAAAAGATACTCGGGGGCATTCGGTTCATAATTTTTTTGGACGGAAAGGAGCTGTCAAAGATATTCAATTGAGGGAAATGGATGGAATCTGGTTAAAATGGAATGGAATTGCAATTCAGTTACTTTGTTATACACGTATAAGAATAATATTCAATAAAAGCATAGACTTTGGATATCAAAACATAAAGTTTTCCATGATAAAATCTCAAAATCAAAACATAGAACAGTTATAGTTATAATAATGGGTATGTTTTGTCCCAAATAGGAATTCAATTTGATGGAATCGGTCATTCCATAGACCATGGGTAAGAAGAAGGAATGGCAAATTCCTCCATCCAATGGAATTTGCCGTTCACATGGAATTCAATTCCATTAAAATAACCAATCCTGATTTGAAATCTGTTCGAACGGAATCTGTAATTCCATTCAATCAGATTCAATGACATCCAAATGAACCAAACGCCCACTACCACTGAATAAATTAGTGCAAACTCACTTGTTTTCTGAGTCAGGCTTAGCACGGGAAGGCTCCGGCATTAGCAACTTCGGTATGTGTATGTCATCAAAAAATCCAAGCGATACTGCCATTTATCCAATCAATGTTAGTAGGAAGGTGTAATTAAGACATAGAAAGAACATAAATGAATTACGATCACAAAATGAGAACACAAAAAGTTGAATGCCACAAGTGTAAATATATGAAATTTGAAGTCAAGAGGCCTAAGTACAATGTTTGTTTAGTGAACCAAACAGACAGATTACAATTCCTTTGACAGATTCCATTTCAATTCCTGCCAACCAAATGCATGGTCAAACCTGATTAAATTTCATTCCAATTCCTTCAAATTCTTTTGACCTAATCCAATTCCAACATATTCCATTCTGTGAACCAAATGCCACATTAGTTTGTCAATGGCAGAGTTTGATCGCCATTTATGTTCCTCAAGTGTGCGCAACGAGTACAGAGTAAAATTGTTGAAGGAAATCAAGAATTCAAGTGGAAAAAAGAAGCAAGAGCTCCACAGTGTGGCTTCACTAATTAACTTTAAAATGAAAGAGAATGAGCCAGCAGCCCAGCCTTACTCAATAACACACATACACACACACACATATACACACACTTTAAATGAAATAAAATTACATATATGTGTAAATATATATATATATATATATATATAGAGAGAGAGAGAGAGAGAGAGGTTCATTTAGGAACCAATTTTTTTGGAGTATTCATGATAAATAACATGATAAAACATTCATGATGAACATCTTGACAGATATCCATGATGAATAATCATGAATACTCACAAAAAAGGTTGTTCCTGGGTCCCTAAATGAATTTCCCCTATATATATAAACAAACTTACAGCGTAAACCATCAGCATTAGATTCTTTAAGTTTGGCAGATATAATTTCACCTACAAAGGGCCGAAACATTATCAACCTAAACTTTACCTGCCAAAAAAGAGCAATATTTTGTCATCACACATAGGGGTGGCAATTTTGTACCAAACCAAACCAGCCAACAAACGTACCAACCGTATCAATTAAATTAGTACCAATTTAGTTGGCACCAATTATAGTCGGTGTGCAAACTCGGTTGGTACATGGTATTGGAAGTTGGTACCATGCTAGTACCTTGGTACGGTGGTACCGTCTTATTTAATTATTTATTAATTTAATTAATTAATTACATAACATATTTATTGATTTTAAGTTTTGTACTACCGACTTTTTTTGTTTGAGTATTTGAATTTTTGCAAATTTTATTCCTTGCAATTAAAAACCCTTAAAACATAATACGTGTTACCTGCAAACTCAAAATGTCACTCAAAAATTGAACAAAATGATAAGTTTTCATATAAGTGATTTCAAGTTGGTAGAAAACTAGTGCCAACCGGAAAAAGTTGGCACCATGTACAGTTGGTTGGTACACGATATATAATTTTGCATACCAATTATAATTGGTTGGTACCATACCAAATCAACCAACTTAAAGCGAGGAAAAAATGGCTATTAACATCTAATTAGCAATACATACATATATATATATATATATATATATATATATGTGTGTGTGTGTGTGTGTGTGCGCGCGCTTGAATAAAAGCCAGAAATTAATACATATGGTGTAGGTTGGAGCTCCCTCGTTGGGAAATATAAAACCACCATCAATTGACTCGATATCATAAACAGATATGCATAGCCCCAATTTTGCAATTACCTGTTATACATAAAAAAACGTAAGAATTATTTAATTTTCTTAGGCTTATGATCTTAGAGTTGGTTTCCGGTAAGAATAGGAGTTATCATGAGAAGGGTAAGAAGGGATCTCCACCCTTGGATTAATTGAAAATGCCCTTCTAAGCTAATGTATGGATTATTTTGGAACTTAATCTTAAAAGTTTGCAAAACTCCATGATTTCATCATTAACAGAAAACCCCTATATATAGGGTATGTACAAAGAAACCCTATCGGCTAAAACAAATCAAT